ATATATATATATATATATATATATATATATATATATATATACAAAAAGAGTCAGTGTGTCAGTAAATATGTAGGCAGGCTGTGAAGTAAAATTATAAAACTATCTAGAAAATGACCTAACAAAACTCTCATGCACCTCCAGCTATGACTATTCTAACCAGAATACTAAAGCTAAAGCTAGCTAGCTAATGAATAATTTCGGCTAGTTCAGCTTAAAGGCAACATAGTTAGTTTACGATTACCTTTAATTGACTCGTTGAAAAAGATCCGTTGAAAAAAAAAAAGTGTCCACACTAAATGATGTGGTAAGATACACAGTAGATAGTGAGGCAGTTCCGGCTGTGTACTGCGAACTGTCACAGCCGAATAACAGTACTTCGATTCCTTTCCCTGCCGTTTCCGGGTCTGGGTGACGTCGACACGGGGGGCGGGGTTACGCTGCTCATTTTTTACATCACATCACTGATCACTGATGAGACTCTGATGTGAACAAAGTAGATGCTCTAAATGGCTTGCCAAAATAAATGTCTGGTAGCATGAAATATGTGGAGTTGTGAAAAAACTCACACTGAATAATTTTAGTCTAGGTGTATGTAAACTTTTGGCCTCAACTGTATATAGGAAGTAACTGCTGTGTACTTCAGTAATAATGGTAATGGTGGTAAAATATCAGAGTAGTACAGAAGTTTCCAGTGAAACAGAACAAAATTCCTTCATCAGCTGTGCAAGCAGAGTGCTTCTGAGGCTATAGTGAAACCAGTTGATATTTGAAATGCTTGATGATGATAGATGTCTTTAAAACATGACATTCATGCCATGGAGTTCTAAAGTTTCAAGAGTGTAGATGAGCTCCTTCTCCACAACCTCTCTTTCTCCTTGGTGTTCCACATGCAAATTTATTAACACAGCCACTAAAATCACAGGCACTAAATGATCATTTTTATTACCCATCACTCCTCGTGCATCACAGTTTATTGTCATTCCTGTAAGAGATGTAATCCGCTGTACATTGGAGAAAGCAAGAGGAGACATTGCAAGAGGAGACAGACATAACATTAATTAAAACATTAAGTAATTTATTTATTTATTTAGTAAGTAATTGTGATAAACACTCCCTCTGCTCTATAAGCAAGTTGAATGCACACATCCACACCGAATCAACCTTCACCTGTGTTGTGAAGATGAACTTCATGGACTTCCTGGTAGGAGCATATTTAAAACTCAAATGCAGTATTAATGAAGTATGATTTCTTACCATCCATAGTTATTGCACTTTGAAGAATTCCTTGCCTCATCACTTCTCTGTGTGTTTTGCAGCAAACTAAGGTGTCCAGGACTTACAAGTCCATTGACTGGTGCTCTCATTTTTCAATTCCAGCAACACCAAGAGACTCAAGACTTCACTGATTTCCCTGCTAGCCACCAGACCACCAGGTGTTTACTCAACCAGTGTTTGCAGGATAGGCTATGCAAGATATTATTTCATCCACTAGGTGGTGAACTAATCCAAGGTCAATTCCCCTTGTGTGTCTTTTTCTGGACTGAGATCTTGCTTGACTGACTTGCTTAAAAATAGTCTTATATGCTGGTATACCATCACACCCCTGACTAACCACCTAACACTAGGTGTACTCTATCATGCATTTTGTATAGATTCAGGAGAAACAGAATGAAGATTCCCACAGTGTCGATTGAATTAGCATATTCACAAAGCCCCCCGACCCCCCCACCCATATTCACAAAGCCCCCAGGAACTATCGTGGCCCTTAGAGTAGAGTGTCTATAAAATGACTAGTGGGAGGCACAAAAACAAGGATTCCAGATTGGAAGTCATTTTTCCAAATGGGTTTTATAAGCCAAATAATTCTTTTGTCCTGAGGTCATGGCTTAAACCATTATTTTGTTATTATGTTCTACATATTTTGCAGGTTATTTGTACAAGCAAGAAAAAAATCAACTATTGCACCTTTAAGCAAGGCTATTTCAAATAAGCTTGGATTTTATGAGCTCGCTTTGTGAAATACCACCCTGGTCTTCCATATACTATAATGCTTCATTCAAAACAGTCAGATTTATAGTTCTTTCATAATAATGATTGTTGTCTGAAGATGTTCATTTTATCTGGTGCAATCATCAAGAAAAGGCCATTTTGAGACTTTTATATCGAAACAATTCAATGACAAAAAGTGACATCATAGAGCAACTTGCATGCAACAGAGTTGGAGACAGATGCAAATGCAGTTTAGAATTAATTATAAAACTGGCAAACAAATCCAAAACATGAAGCAAAATCATAAACAGGAACAGGCAAAAGGTCAGGCAAGCAGCAAACAATAATTCAAAGGCAAAACCCAAGAATGCAAAAACCAGGAAATGAGACGAGATCAAAACCAGAATATCAGTCCCAGAATCAAAAGGCTTGGTAAGTTCAGGTAAGCGTACACTAAGCATTACTTCACAACTAGGTAAGACCTCCTGAACTCTTCCTATGCCTACCTCTGGGGCAAGGGCCTGGTCGTTCTGGATGCTTAGCGTGGAATTCTTGGCAGAGCAGGGGGTCAAGAGCATTGTGTGCCAAAATCCAGGATTGTTCCTCTGGAGCACAGCCCTCATATTCGATGAGGTACTCCAACTTCCCATCTTTGCGGTGTGAGTTCAAGATGTCCTTGACTAAGTAGGCAGGTTGTCTTTCTATGTCCAGTGGTGCGGGTGGTGTGGTAAGGGGAACGTTGGATGCTAATGGTCCAGTGTGACAGGAATGAAAGTGTTAGTCTACTATGGCGTGGAAGATCCAAATTGTACATGACATCATTGATGCAGCAGGGAATCTTGTAAGCACTGATGTATCATGTATTAAGCTTCTTGCATCCTTGAGTGTTTCTAATGTCTTTGGTTGTTAACTATACGCAGAAACCTGGTTGGAACTGCGGAGTTTCTCCTCAATGCCAGTCGGCAAATTCTTTGTTTCTCTGAGCCACTTCTAAGCACCTGTGTGCGTTCTCCCATAGTTGTTCACTCTGCCTAATCCATTTGTCTACTGCAGGTGAGTCTGTGGGGTTAGTGTTGTAGGGAAACAGGGGTTGATGATAACCCAGTACACCCTGGAAGGGCATCAGTTGCGTGGCTGAGTGGTGTAGTGAGTTCTGGGCTTATTCGGCCCAAGGAAGAAACTGAGCCCAATCCTCCTGGTTTTTGAGCAACATGTCCTCAAGAAACAACCAATATCCTGGTTAGAGTGTTATACTTCCCCATTAGCTTTTGGATTATAACCAGACGTGAGGCTTACGGAGACTCCTAATTTCTCCATGAAGCTGGACCAGACTCTGGAGGTGAACTGCATGCCTCGATCACTCACAATGTCTTCGGGAATGCCAAAGTAACGGAACACTTGTGAAGGTGAGCTCAGCAGTTTCAAAGGAGGTGGGTAGGCCAGGCAAAGAGACAAGATGTATGGATTTCGCGAATTGGTCTATAATGACTATAATCATGGTGTTACCCTGTGACTCGGGGATGTCTGTGATGAAGTCTATGACAAGGTGAGGCCAGGGTCGCTGTGGTGTGAGTAGTGGCATGAGCTTACCCACTGGGAGAGTGCGTGGTACCTTGGCTTGTGCACATGCTGTGCATGATGAGATGAATTTGTGGATGTCTGTAACCTTGTTAGGCCACCAGTACTTCACCTTCAGAAGGTGATATGCTCGCTCTGAGAGCGTGAAGTAGAAACGGACAAAGAACAGGGCCCACCGGGCTTGGCGAGGGTTCAGGCGCTTGCCTGTTTTCAGATACTTGAGATCCTTATTATCTGTGAAGATAGCGAAGTGATGGGCAGCTCCCTCCAACCAGTGACACCACTCTTCCAGGGCGAGTTTCACAGCAATTCTCGGTTACCTATATCGTAGTTTTGTTCAGCTGGTGAAAGTGTCTTTGAGTAGAAATCCACTAGGTGAGGTTTAGGTTTATCTCCAAATCTTTGGGACAGAACCACTCCCACCCCAGATTCTGAGGTGTCTACTTCTACAATGAATAGCTTTGATGGGTCTGGGTGCTTCAAAAGGGGAGTGGTGGTGAATGCAGTCTTGAGCTTCTCAAAGGCTCCATTGGCTGCTGTGTTCCAAATCAGATATTTGGGTCCTTTGTAGGGCCATGAGGGGAGTAGTGATAGAACTAAAGCCCCGGATGAATGGTCTGTGGAAATTGGCAAAGCCTAGAAATCTTTGAAGCCCCTTGACTGTCTTGGGAGTGGGCCATTTGGTGATAGTGTCACTTTTTCTTGTTCCACAGCCACTCCTTTAAGGCCTATGATATATCCGAGGAAAGAGATGGTGGACAAATGAAATTTGCACTTCTCTGCCTTTACATAGAGTTGTTGTCAAGGAGACGTGTCAGGACTCACTTAACATGCTGAACATGGGTTTCCAGAGAGGGTGAATATGTCATCAGTGTAGACAATTACAAACCTTCCCAACGTGTCCCTTAAGACATAATTAATGAGGCACTGGAAGACCGAGGGAGTGCAAGAGAGCCCATATGGCATGACGCAGTACTCATAGAGACCAGAGTTGGTG